GTTTGCATTACTGTCGCTCTCTGATTGGCCATTTTGCCGTATTCGATAAGAGTAGAGAAAATTAGGGCTACTCGCCTCAACGTGTCAGGCAATTCCTTTAACAGCTATCAAACATGGATGCGTCGTCGATATAGTGATATAGAAAGCAAAAAGTTGATAATTATTTCTAGAGAACTACCACCTTGCCCCAAAGTCTTGAGATATTTTTGATAAAACACGCCAGTATAAAACGTCATTTTGTACATGCAGTTCTTTCTCTCTCCCCCCTTGCAATGTTGATTTCAACATCACTTATCATTACCTCCGCTTTCAACAATGAAGAGAGACGAAACATCCCAAACATCCTTGAGATGTTTTAGTAGTTATCAAGCTTTTTGCGTTAAGACACCAATCCGCTCGAACTGTTACTATTATCTAAGATTAAATCTTCTTTATTGCTTTATTGACTAATCTATTAATCATGCACACCTAAAATTTCATTGCCTCACATGTGTGTTTCAGAGAACTGGAGAAAGTGTAACGATGCTGTTATTAACAAATGGTAAACACCACAGCGTACACTATTGAGTTATGGATGCACGCGGGAGGTTGCTAAGCACGAAAGAAGCGTAAGAGTCGCTCGAGGCGGATAGCCGAGAGCGACTCTAGCTTCTTGAGTGCTTAGCAAACCTCCCAAGTGCATCCATAACTCAATAGTGTACGCTGTGGTGTTTACCATTTGTTTTATAACATAACATTGATACGTTGTAGCTAAAGAGTTCCCTTTTATTTAACAAATCTTTTACGCGACCAGAAAAAACAAGCGCGCGCGGAAAAATAGTCTTTGCTCACGTCAGCAGCGTACACCCATGGGCAAATGGGGGACGCTAAATTGACCAATCAGAGCGCGCGCTTTATTTTGGTTATGTTATAATATGCTTTGGGGGTGTAGAAAACACTCAAGGAGATTTTTCAATGAGAGAGTCCGGCCTGATATTCACATTAAGCATTTTTACAGGAGTGATGATGGAATTAAATGCAATCCTGACGTGTCCGCATCATACTTGGGATGTCTGAGCTCTCTAATGGGTGAAAAGAAGCCTGTTACAGTCATATATAACATTTCCAAACAAGACATCTTTACCAATTGCAGACTACGCAAGAGATACATCTAATTGCGGCTTTAAGTATCATTCATATCAACTTAATGGCACTGATTTGAACTCACCTGAGCTTGTTTTTAAAACTATGTCTCGCCCTTTGCCAGTGTCAATTGGCCAAGTGTTTCAAAGTTGGTATGCAGAGGTCTTAGATGATTGCTATTGGAGTAACAACATTGGCCAGCCATGCGCCGATGTTTATGCGTGGTATGCTTAAGATCGTCAATTGCCAACCACAACCTTACCACTCATAACTTCACGCATGACCAGAGTGCGAATTCAATGAGTCTGGCGGCGTTTTCTTTATGGCTGTTATTCAGAAAGGAGCAGTAGATTTAGTAACACCCATTGAATTTAATCATGTTCATAATACTCGTTACTATTGACGGGTTAAGCACAACTCGCCTTTATAGCGGAGTTCGAGTGCGCGCAGCGAGCCAGCAGAAACCTCTATGTAGGAAAATATGATAGACCGTCAGCCACGAAGTTTTGCTCATCATGTGATGGCTGTACCATCGTTTGTGGGTACATCTGTATAAAAGACACTTCACTTAATTTACATATTAGCAAAGGTTTATTCGCCAACGCAATGTCAGAAGCAGCAAGACTCATCAGTGATGTTTTTCGTATCTTGTGGATTGTCAATACGTTTAACATAATTTTTTTAAAAAAAAACTAGAATTTGTATTGGTATTCATTGTTGAGCAACCGCGAAATAATTTAAAACTTTTTTTCTACTGTTCTGCTATTGTAATGTTCTGTTTCTATTCAATCAAGTTCGCGTTTTTGCGTGAGGTCTTGTAAGAATTACGTAGCGCCGGTTGCTATTTTTTTTTCGTCAGTATGCGCGTTTGTTTGGTTAGAGATCTTTCATTACTAGTTGAATTCAACTAAGGCAGACGTTTCGTTAGTTTTACTCGCACCGTGTTACTTTTGTTTAACAGTTTTACTGCCAGACCTTGTTACGCCACAAATTGTAAGTTCGTTTCTCTTTCATTTATTTTTTTTGTTTTTGTTCTTGTTGTTGTTATTATATTTGTACCCAGATAGCTGTATCATTTATTTATTTATTTATTTTCCGTCGAATTTAACAGACATCTACAGATCTGCCCATCTGGCAAATAAATGAAATGTGTATTCGCTTGGTGATGTTAAACATGTAGTCATTTATCTATAGTTGTATAAAATATATAACTTTTAAAAGCGACGTTTATCATTTACGGGCATTTCGTCGTTTCAGATATTTTTGTGGATGAATTCAGCTTTAGATTGCATAGTGAACAACCATAACGTGAAAAGAGCTTGAGGAGCCCGTTTACGTTATGGCGAGCGTTATGGAGTGCATGTCCGGCAGGTTGAAAAGAGGTCGGGCTATTTTGTCAAAAATGCAATCGAATCGTTGAGCAGCTGTCACAACTTAGGGCTTTTCGAAAGGTCTGGTATGATATATTTACAAATCAAAATACACGTTTTCTTAAAGCTTTATCCTTGTAGTTTAATCTCCCAAAGTTTCTTTCTTGGCCTACCATTGGCGGTGCGTCCATGTTTGAAAGAGTTCGGGCTATCATAACAACAAATATACTGCAATCCGTTCAGCGGCTGTCACGCAAGTTGTCATACATTTGATACATTCATGGCGAAACCAAGATAGAGAATTAGAGGAATTAAAATACAAGGATAAAGCTTTAATATGATATGTATTATGATCTGTAAATGTACATGGCATACATTTTTCTAGGCAATTCCATTTGACCTTTATTTTACCTCTGCGAAAAAGGCGCTAACTTTACTTTATTTCAACCGGTCACTATGCAGACTTAACCTTTGTAAAAGGAAATTTATTATATCTCCAAAGAGATAAAAGGATCGTCTGCTCGCACACAAAATCTAAGAGTGGGATTGCACCGCGTTGTGGCGTACGAAGTTGCCGAAGTTGCTGATTTTAATGTTGGCGTTGGTTTATTAGCTCAACCATTCTACACTAGATTTCATGTCAAGATCTATTTAGCTGTGGAACACCACAAGAATCAAGTACAGTCCCTGCAAGTGCAACGCGACGCTCCGCAGTTCGGTGATAGGGCAGATTTTTACTGGTCCCATCAAATTGATAGTCGTAGTATTCTACGTGAATATTATACTTCTCATTCGTTACCCAGTGACATTTATTTTCTTTTACATATTTACATTTCTTGGCTCGAGCAGCCCAGTTAGGAAGATATACTCCTTCTCGTTTTTCCTCAAGTTTCTGAATTTTTGTTTAAGCCCTGTAATTTACTGTTGGAAGATGAGTCACATTCGACATTGTATCATAAAGATACCACGACAAATAGTACAGAGACCGCTTTGGATGATACATGGGCAACTATCCCAGTTGACAGATGACAACTACAAATACACCGGCCCTGCTTCAACTTGAAATTAAATTGACCCTAGCTGATAAGTAAAGCATTGAATAAGCTTGTATAGAAAGTATGTCCTATAGACTGTGCATGATAGATTATCGTTGCTCAAGAAAGATTATGTTGTTTTCGGGTGTAATTCTTCATTTCTGGGCACTTTGTCACATTTGGCTTGCCATGGATTAAAAGGTAGCTTGACGAACAATTTTCAGAAGGGAGAGATGGCACGAGTTGTTTATATGTGTGTACGATTGATTTCTGTGTCACTGAATAGAGGCCATGGCTGTGGACTGTCTTAATGAGTTTACATGAAAGATCTTCTCGCCCTCTTACTTGAGGACTCGTACAGTTACAATAACTCATACATTCTTCAAAATTCTAATCCATACTATGGAAGGCTCATCATGCAATTTCTGGAGGCAGATATTGATCGTCAAAAACATCTGAAGTATCAAAGTTTCTTCGGGTGTTTATCAGTATTTCGTCGTCAACTGTTTTCTATAGAAGAAGAAAACCATCTATGCCAAGAACGATTGAAACGCAAATGATTCCAGCTGTTTCTAATGTAAAGCTTTAGCCTTATTGTCAGCCATTTACAAACAGATAAAAAAAGTTTTCTCTCAGAGACATCAGCATCGAAATAACTTTTTTTGACTTAAACACTCAGACACCTGCCTTAAAATTTATTTCAGTTTTTGCTGCTTATTTTTCCACATCAATATTCATGATTTTCTTTTCATTTATAGGTACCTGGAGTTCTTAGATAACTTCAGATATAGAGCCAACTTGATTTGAGAAAATCCATTGAAAATGACAGTTTGCACAAATTCCTTGTACTTCTTCGTAAGTTATACTTCGGTTCTTCTCTTTTTGGGTCAGTTGAGTCATTGAATAAATATCTTAAGTCAAATTTGAAGGCAAGCATAAAAAAGAGTTCCATTTTTATTTTGAAGCCTCCACATAAAGAGAGATGCAAATGCTTGCTTATAAAAAAAAATAACGCAAAGAAATTATTCCAAGTTCCTCCGTTCGAAGCAAAAAGGAAAGTTGTTAGGCATCGTATCGCTAATAACCAGTAACACAACCACATTAAGCTTTCTGGTGCAAGGGGCCTTCACCGGGACAGCCATTACTTTCTTCATGTTTCTCCAGGATTTCCCGCCCGCATCATTTTTCTTTTACACATGGCTTTGGTTGACTGTGGTCGTTTAGCTAAACTCTTCATTTCCCTGGTGTCACCCGTGTAAAATAGACTGTACCGCCTTATTCTTTTCTAAACGCTCGCCATAACATAGACGGACTCCCTCAAGCTCTTTTCATGTTATGGCTTCTCGCTAAGCTTTCTATGGCTGAATTCATCCACAACAATATCTGACGAAATGTCCGTAAATGATAAACGTCGGTTTGAAAATTTTTATTTGTATACAACAGTTATGTTAAATGTATTGACAATCCACAAAATACGAAAAACGTCACGAATGAGTTTTGCTATTTCTGACATCGTGTAGGTTAATAAAGCTTTACTAATACATAGATTACATCAGGTCAGGCGTCTTCTATACAGACGAACCCACAAACGAGGCTAAAGCCATCATGTGATGAACAAAACTTTTTGGCTTGATGAGCTACCATATTTTCTTAGCTATAGTTTTCTGCTTGCCCACTTCGAGCGCTCGAGCTCCGCTATAAAAGTGCGCTTACCCGTTAATTAAGGGGTATTATCAATATGATTACATTTACAGGGAAGTTGCTGAATCTACTGCTCCTTCTTGAACAACAACCAGAAAACTCCGCCAGACATTGAATTCGCACTCTGATCATGTCTGACATTATGAAAGCTAAGGTTGTAGTTGGCAATTTACGATCTTAAGCATACCACGCATAAACATCGGCGCATGTCTGGCCGCTGTTGTTACCCCAAGCACAATCATCTAAGACCTCTGCATACCAAATTTGAAACACTTGGCCAATTGACACTGGCAAAGGGCGAGACATAGTTTTAAAAACAAGCTCAGGTGAGTTCACATCAGTGCCATTAAGTTGATATGAATGATACTTGAAGCCGCAACTCGATGTATCTCTTGCGTAGTCTGCAATTGGTAAAGCTGTCTTGTTTGGAAATGTTATGACTGTAACAAGCTTCTTTTCACCCATTAGAGAGCTCATACATCCCCAGTATGATGCAGAAACGTCGGGATTGCATTTAATTCCATCACCACTCCTATAAACAAGCTTGAATGTGAATATCAGGCCGGACTCTCTCATTGAAAAATCTCCTTGAGTGTTTTCTACACCCCCAAAGCATACAGCAGCATCGTTAACCTTTTTCCAGTTCTCTGAAACACACATGTGAGGCAATGCAATGTTAGGCATGCGGGACTAATAAATTAGTCAATAAAACAATTAAGAAGATTTCATATTAGATAATAGTAATAGCTCGAGATTGGTACCTTAACTCAGCTGCAAAGGTTTGCTAACTACTAAAATCTTGGCTAAACATCCTTGAGATGTTTGGGATGTTTTTTCTCTGATCAGTGTTGGAATCGGAAGTAATGATATATGATGTTCAAATCAACATTGCAAAGGGGAAGAGAGAAAGAAGTGAATGCAAAAAGACGCCTTATGCTGACATGCTTTTACAGAAACCTCTCAAGACTTTGGGGCAAGGTAGCAGTTCTCTAGAAATAGCCGATTGACAAAGCTACTGTCGAGAAAAATCAAATGACCAACTGGTGTATTCACAATTTTAACGTTATATGACTAGTAAAAATCCTCTGAAAGCGACTTATTCACTTGTAGAAAAATTTGGGGGAAAAAGGTAAAATCAAACGAAGATTTTATTTACCTTTCTCGCAGTGTTCTCCGGTAAATCCCGAACCAGCTTTGCAATCACAAAAATACCCCTTATATGTATATCCAGTCAGACAAGTTCCGTTATGCGAACAAATTATGTTCCTGCATAGATTCTGAAAAATAAATGACAACAATTTTGAGCTCTCATTACTGGCTGTTTTTTTTTTTTTTTTTTTTTTTTTTTTTTTTTTTTTTTTTTTTTTTTTTCTCTTTCTGTTTTCCTTTTTTAAATCAAGAGGGGCGGAGTAGTAAGATTTGTGCAGACGCGAGATTAAATTGGTCGAAAACCGTTACTTCTAAATTATCCATTCTCTTGATTTCACTTTCATGATTTTCTCAATTTTTCTCTTACCTCTGTGTCTCTGTAGACAAAGCCAACACGAGGCTTAAGATCCCCAGGATGTCTTTTGGCATCAGAATCACTCAGCTCGCATACCATATGGTCTGCGACTTTTGCTGATGGACCGGCGTTAAACGAGACACAGCGGCTGTCCATGGTACACAGATTTTTACAGGATTCGTGTAATCCAATTGAATACTTTTTCAGCGCATGACCTTCCAGCGCAAAGCCTCGAGTTGGTTTGTTAAACTTGAGATATCGGCACGTATCTGTTGATAAAGTGAGGAGAGAAGGGCCATTAGAGATTGTGTGGAACGGATTGGAGGAGGAACACAGAGGCATTTTCAAAATGTTGCGAAAAAATTGTACGAGCGAGAATCCCAGATATCCAGGCAACACATGGCCGTGAAGTGAAAGTCTTCTTCAGTAATTTTTCGATCATGCACCTCTACAATGTTTTTGTTAATTGTCAGTCGTGGTTTATCTTGACAATCTCATAGCTTTGAACGCGCCTGTGCTCGCTATTAGTAATAGTTTCAGTGGGCATACTTAGCCCAAATAGTAACTGGTATTTCGTAACAACATCCTCATAAGCCAGCCAAAATATTAAGAATAGCGACACCATTTACATGTTTTGTGTACTTTAGAAATGTCTGTGAAAGGAACATTCAACGCTATGAGTCGGTTCAGTTTTATCTGTTTTGTACCAAGTTCAAAGGCTTGGCTGAGGGCACAGCTACATTCGTGACCCGAGGAAACCGCTAAGTGAGAAATGACTTTGGAGGGTGAAGAACCTCTCTCAGTCTTCAACCACTTCTCCTTAGGTTCGTCCTCTTACTGAAAGAGCACCTGTATCATAGGCCAGGCGAAAAAATACCTTTGAAAAGCATATTTTGCTTCGCTTTTCCCCCACAGGGGCCTGCCATAAAAAAAACTGGTACCAAGGAAATTAAATAGATTTTAGGCCGATTTGTCCCTCATTGACCCTCCAAACTTAATGTAAAGGGAGTAAAACATTTATTTATTTATTTATTTATTTAATCGCTTTCACCATACTTACAATACTAAAAAGACTAAAATATACATATGAACAAGACACAGAAGAGAACCGAGGACAAGGGTGCGGGACACACAACAGAGCGAGGCTCCAAATTAAGTGTGCCCTTACGAGAAATATACAAATACTAACTATGTAAACAATAGACAGTGTAAAAAGTATATAAAAATGTATATAAAATAATAAAAGCAAAAACGAAAACGATAGGAATAAATCCCTTATGCGGCCGATAGAAAGTCCTAATAGCAGCAGTTACCAACTAATAGAAGATCACGTGACCTGCTGCATTTGCAGCTGATCGACTTCCAGGTGTTGAAGTTAGTGACGTCATAGTTTGTACGAAAAGCAGCGGAATAGCGTTGGAGTACGTGAGATTTAAACTGATTGAGAGAACTAATAATACGAGTGGATACAGGTAAGGTATTCCATAGTTTAGCGACACGATCAAAGTAACTAAATTTAAAAAGCTTTGTACGGCACTTAGGAATTAGTACGTCTTGATCAGAGCTATGACGAGTAAGACATTTGCAAGTAAGACATTTGACGAGTAAGACATTTGCATTTGCAAGAGAGTCACCCAGAGAAACATTAAAAAAGCGTGCAAAAATTCAACTGTTGCTACAAAATTCCAGCAAAAAAATTCCTGCTGTAGAAGAATTTCCAGCTTCTCCTTTTTACTAATAATTTATCTATTTCAGTATCTCAAGGGTATCCGAACTGAGTGTTAGGGGGCATGTTTCTTCAAATATTTCCAAGATCAGCGCATAATGATATTACAGATCTTGTTTCGAGTCCGCTGCAGTGCAGTGTTGAAAATTTACCTATGCAAAAATAAAATAAAAGATTTCATGGAATACCACAGACAAAAGAGCTTACTATTTTAGGGGTAACATTTCAGGAAGATAGTAGGTTTATAACACATATTCGGGAAAAACTAATCAAAGCAAACAAGTGCCTGTTCATTTTAAGATCTTTAAGGAAAGAAGGGTACAATCAGGCCGAAGTAGACCATCTGTGTCTAAATCTGGTTCTACCAAATATATTATACGGGCTGTCCGTATTTGGCGCTGTAAATTCCGAATTAACAACAATTCAATGTTTCTTAGATCGATGTTATAAGCGCAACTATACATCCGACCACATTAATGTTTATGAATTGTTAGATCAACAGGAAACACGTATCTTCAAGAATGTTTTTAATAATACAATACACCCTTTAAGAGCTATAATGCCAAAAAAGAAATCAACCAAGTACAATCTGAGGAAAGAGACAAGTCACCATCCTAAAATAAACACTGATAGGTTCAAAAACACGTTTGTCAATCGCTTAATTTTTAAACATAATCCAGTCTTATAATTTTTATCTTGATTTTCCCTGTAATTTATATATATACCTTCTTTTAATGTTGTAACATAGGATATGTGATTATTTCTCTTATGACTTAATAAAGATTCATTCATTCATTCATTCATTCATTCATTCATAGAAAAACAACAACGATCCATCCGAAACCAGACAAATCACTGCATTCAGTTCATCATCCAAAAGCTCCTTTGAAACACACATTTGGCCGTCGAGCAGTTAGGTCTATATACCTTTTTAAATAGGGCTGGTAAAGTAAATTAATAATAAATATGTGAACATTGCGGTCATTTAAAATTTGTTTGTTTATCTCGTCCTGTAATAACGGATCGGATAATGAAACGATGACATGACAAAAAGTGATGTACTTTGTCATCTAAACTATCTGTTCTTTTCGTGCAAGACTTGGCAAGTAAGCAGGAAAATACGATAATAGTTAAAAGCTTAATCCCATCCTTTCAAAACTCTTCCGAGGATTCACACGTAATTCTCTTTTTTTTTTTTCAGTTGGTTTAATTATCATAATTTTAATATTCCACATTACAAAATTTACGCCGAACTAATTTCTGCACAAATCTTTTGAATTACAACTCCACTAAAGTAAATTATTAATGTGCAAAATAATAATTTATTAAAAGATCGTTTTGGAAAAATTTCATTTCTTCTTAAAATCACTCACTAGACACTTCAAATAAATATATATTTTTAATGTTTGAAATTTTTTTTTTTCGTTATTACCCACCTTCAAGACCCAGTTGTTCTATCGGTCTCACATTTCCTGTCCACGGACCGCAACAAAGTGGCTTCCCTTCCTCTCCGGGAGTTAGTTTATTTCCAAAATAACAGTTATTACGAGTCGCATATCATAATCAAGATTTTCCAACAAAATATGAAGACAACGTTTTAAGTTCTAAAGTCTAAACCTTCAAAATGAACCCCAGTGACCCGATGAAACGCTTGAATTCAGATTCCATTCTCCCCAGCCTATTAGTATTTACATTGGCAGTGCTGCCTTGGCGTGTATATAATGCTGACCTTTAAACTAGGTTTCGGCTTTAGATCAAGAATAAACCGTTGCTCCACACAAAAACTAGGTCTTTTCTTCGTATGGCTTAAATCTAAGGCCAAATTCGAAAAAGAAAGAGACAGGTCAATGCGCTCTTTTTGTGGTAACTGTCAGTCCAAATAATGAAACTCGTCAGATATTTTTAAAAAGATCGCTAGAACAGCGCCGGTCATTAGTAAACAAAGCGATAATTTTTTAGCGTTTTTGGACAAATTGTTTTCTCGGATAGAATGCGTACTATTCTTAACGACGAATCCAATCAAACTGGTGCTAACAGTCTCGAACCAGCTCTGAAGAATGGCGGAGCTTTGAGGAATATCCTAAGCCTTACCAGGACCCTTTGTGGGGGCATTTTGAAGGAACTGATTGATGTCTTCAACAGAATACATACCTTCTTTTGCCTCCACTGTCATGGATCGAAGGCAAATCCTCACCAAAATGAAGAGGAAAGTTTTCACTCCTAAACAGCCGCATTTCATTTTGCATGCGAATTAGGAGTCACAGTACTCCACAGTAAACTTGAGCCAAGACAACTACTCCTTACATTAGCAAAATGATGTTATTCAGCTGCCACCACTTACAAACCTTGTCAATGACATAAATGTTTTGAGTTAATAATTTATGAGGACTGTGGAGAGCAAATCAGCAGGCTTCAAGGGAACATTAAAACTAAATCAAGCTCAGTAACATAAAATGTCGCTATTTCATCAGATTTGCTTCGTTTCAAGGCATTTTGTTTCGAATGTATAGCATGAATTAGTATTCGAAATGAAGTTTCCTTGAATTGTCCTACAATACTTTGAACGACTTCAACTTATATACTTTCCATACTCTTTCCTTTCAGCTTCTTGGTTCACTCCCGATGCCGAGAAGGCATTGTAAACCAAAACAATGATAACAAGAGAGCATAAGCTCGTCTAATAGCTATTCTATCTTCCTAGTCACCAAGTGCGAGGGCCGTACTGGCTAATATTAACCCGAGATTGTATTGTATTGTATTGTATTGTAATCTTTATTTAGACACGATCAATTCATCAGCCTATAAAAATACATATCACATACGCTAAGATTTTAAAATTAAAACTACATACTATAACACTAAAGCTGTTTTCCGTGAATGCCATGCGTTAACTTAAAGAATGTCATTGATCTTACGTTTAAATAACCCCAGAGACTCTGTGTTCCTTATATCGCGTGGTAAACTGTTCCATAATGTGGCGCCATTGTAGCTAAAGCTTTTTCTGTAATAATTAGTGCGCGGTAGTGGAACATTAAGCTTATTTTCAGAGTCCCTGAGGTCATAAGCAGAGTCACGCCACGTAAACTTTAAATATAGATACCTTGGAGCTAGCCCGTGCAGACATCTAAACATCATGGTGGCTTTATGGAGTCGGTGAGATCTCGCCCTAAACATATGCTAGGATTGGCTTTTGGCGAGAAACTTGTCCAAGATGTCATTGCTTTCCCCCCTGAGATCTTGTTATTCTGATGGCATTTGTTCTCAACTAGTGAATGAGACTGTACTGACCTCTTCTGGTGGTCGTCTTGTTACCTGTCAATCATGTAATTTCCCCGCGGTTGGTAATAAGAGAGAGAGAGAAAGCTTGGCGCCGTTGTAAAACTTGGAGTTCAACAATTGAACCTCTTCGTGAAATAACATTCTAGCGTGCAGTCAATACACTTCAGAGACTAGTAGTAGTAGCCGGTAGCAGTAGTAGCAGTAGTTTATTTAGACACATTTCACCAGTGAGCCTGGGGCTCGTTTAAATGTGAACTTGTACGTTAAAATTAAAATGTCAAATTTAAATATGTTATCTATTCGATAAAAATACAAAAACCACACTATAAAATTTAAAAACTAGACTATAAAAATTTAAAAGATTACAGCAACAATTGGCCTTGGTAGTCAAGTTAACATTGTTCAGTAAACTTTTAAAAATTCTAAGAGAGGACGCTCTTATATTGTCAGGTAGGTTGTTCCACAAACATGAAGTTATGTAGCGATAAGATTAATGCAAATACTTTAATTTAAAAGTGGGCTGATTAAGCTTACAAAAACCTCTTAGGTCATAATTGCTAGAACGCAATGAGAACAATTCCTTGATGTAGTTTGGCCCCGTAATAAATAACGATTTATAAAGAAGGATTAAGGCTTGCGTGTATCTGCGATGTTCCAGGGACTTGATGTTTACTATCTTAAGTAGATCGCCATAGGGAGTTGACTTGGGCAGATTCATTATTGTTTTGATAGCAAAATGATTGGTAAATTCTAGCTGGTTAGAAAGTCCAGGTGAAAGTCCACTGAAAACAGGTGCGCAGTATTCCAAGTTTGGTAAGATGTGGTGAAGGCCTTGTAAATATTTATCATCACATCACCAGGTATAAACTTTCGATTTCGTACCCTCCTGAGAGCAGAAAATTTAGCATTGACTATATTGCATACAGATTTAACATGGGACTTGTCAGTCAATGAGATGTCTATAGTTAAGCCCAAGATATTTAAATCTTTAATATAACCAAGGGTAGCTTGGTACGATCTGCAAAAAGCTGGAGATGTGTAGGATTATCGCTCAATGATAACAATTTGGTTTTTGCCTCATTTACACTAAGTAGTTACACTGAAACCATGATTGAAGCACATCAAAGCTATTCCGTGAAGTAAATTCTAGAGCATTTCGATTGGGGTTTGATAAGTATTGAGTCATCAGCATTGTGTATTGTGTTGTATCATATTGCATCATCATCATTTGCCTCAAATTCGCATCAACAACAAAGTAAGTGAGATCATTAATAAGTAAATTAAATAAATTAAATAGAAGTGGTCCCCAGATTGACCCCCGAGGAACTCCATGCTGGATTGTTCTCCAGTCTGAGTACGAATTTCCAATCTTAACACGTTGCTTTCTTCCACACAAATATGAACGAGTGAAACTCAAGGCACTGTCAGAAAAAACCATAGGCTCTCAACTTTGAAAGTAGAAGGCTGTGAGACAAGGAGTGGAATGCTTTTGATAAATCCACTGCAATTGCAGCACAATGTTCTTTGTTATCAAGTGTGGCTCTGAATAAAGTAATTATGAACTATATACTATATTATAAAATAATTATGTTAGTCGGCGTAATCTAAAGGGTAGTCTGTTCCAGACTTTCAGCTAGTAAAACAACGGAGCTCTATGTACAAACGGAGCGAAAATAGGAGGGGGCCCGGGTCTACCCGACAAAACCTCTCCTCTCACTGGCCGCAACCACTGCGTGGTTTTATTTGCGCACTCCGATGCACTAACAGGCTACCTCAAGCGTAATGAATCCGTTAAGCACAAGTTCCGAAATTCATTTAACGACTGAAAGCGATGATCAAAAATCATGTTTATGAAAACAAGTTGAGCCGATGATGTATAAGTGGGGAGAGGGAATTTGCGGAAAGTTTATGGTAGTCTGATCATCATGCGGCATGTAGCTTGCATATAGCTTGCATATAGCCTGCATAGAGCCTGCATATAGCTTGCATATAGCTTGCATATAGAGCAAATTCTTTTGTTCACAGTAAGAAGAGAATAAGCTCGAGATTTCTATTAACCAATAATAATCCATCGGTGACTACATTGTTATATTCTTATATTTTAATATTAGCTAGTTCTTAATCTTAATCTATTTAAATTTAGATACCTTCACAAGGCTTTATAATTTCCTTTTCTCTTTTTATTTCGTGGCGTACCTGTAAACTAGCGTTTTGTGATATCCGGAATAATCAAGGTCGAGGTAAGTGTTATCAGCCTAAGCCGAAGGCTTCGGTTGATAACACTAACCAAGGGTCGATGAGGCGAATCGAGAAGCCATTCTTCGCTGTTCGTGAATTTGACATTGCTCCACCGGAAATCATGCATTGCGTGCGCAACCTACAGATTATTCATTAATCAGTAGGCACAGATTAGTGAATAATCTGTAGGTTGCACTGTTTCCCAGAATTAACTGTGGGCGTGTAGCCAATGAGAAGACAGATGGTGACTACAATGTATATTAATTTAGCTTATATCATGCATAATAGATAATGCATGGCGTAACCAATCAGATTTCCCACATTTGTATTGAATCGCCTGTTGATTCATAATTAAAAGAAGTATTTACCGAGTCGCAATGCTTTATTGATGTTTCATAGTATTTTAGCCTGTTTCTCCTCTGCACCACTAATGCGTTCCAATATCATATCTGCATTTCTGAGAGAGGACAGCGGTATCTATACACCAGACCCAGTTGCATCCACCACATTTATTCTTTTACTTTCTTCTTAATCCCAATACAGGTCTTACTTGTAAGAACAATATTTAATAATTATAAACTAACGTTTATGTACAAACATGAGACACGTAAAAAACAATTTGTACACAAGGCAGAAATGCACAGAGTTCACCGAGCGTTCACAAAATGCAGTCGCCAGGAAAACAGTACCTTAAGGCTACCACTGTGAGCAAGTGAAATCTTTCAGGAAAAACACACAGTAAGTCACAGTCTACTCCTTTAGTAAAGTAAAAAAACAGAAAACAAAATGTCTTTCTTTCTCTTCTTTGTAAATGTCCACGAAGAAGAGGTATGAACTGAGAGGCGATCCGAAAAACCAGCCTTGGAGTGACAGAGAAAGCCTCAGAAAGGCTCTTGTTTTCAGAGCCTCTTAATTCAGCTCTCTTAAGGGCAAACTACTTTAAAGTGCTTACATTTTCTTGAGAGTCACAGTTTATGTTGAGTTAGTTATCTTAGCAACCCAGATATGGTTTCAACTGTTACTTGGAGATATCATAGCCTATCACCAGCTCCTAAATGATTGGAAACTTAGAATTTTCTTTTTACCGTCAGGATTTGGGCATTTTATGAACGAGGACAACCAAAACTGCGAGACATAACCATGCCACACCAACAATTATGACAGCATTTGGTTATTCTCAAAAGGGGTTCATTATGCACGCCATATATGGGAGTTTCTAGCGCCAGTTAGGAGGGAGATACAACAGCAATCGTACACGTGTCCACCTAGGCTAATATGATGGAGAGATGTAGCTCAGACGTTGCATCCGTGTCACTTAAACTGACGCCCTACCTTACGTTATTGTTTAGAGAAGAGCGATTTTTGATAAGTATTGCAAAGCTGCAAAGTTAACCAAAACAAAATACCATTAAGAGCCAATGAGAACTCAAAGTAAAAGTAACCACACGGCCAAAAGCGCAGGTTCAAAGACTCATTTTAAATATGGATATGCATATTTTTATCTACATTTTTCCTCGTGATTTTAGATGTCTGTTATGACTGATTAACGGCGAATAAAACAGTTTCCTAGGCTTTGAAAATCAGAGTTTGCATGTTGTTTGAAAGACAAGATAGCAGGTCTGCATTATGTATAGATTTATCAAATAAAAACATCGCTGTGACTCTGTGCATTACACAACCTTTGAAGTTATAAACTATTTCTCAAAATGTTTCCTTCTACCGGCAATTTCTTGGCCAACAGCCTTATGCATGGTTAGCTATACTAAATACGCTGCACTGCAGTCACACAGCTAAAGCCCAATGCAGGTTTACCACAGCGAGTGAAGATGTAGATTCCGACTAAGTATGGACCTTACATCGGACACAAATCTTAGTGCATCCAACATAGGCAATAGGTTTAATAACGCTGTATCTGAAGGATCTGCAAACCATGATTTGATAGGAATGGCATTCTCTACAAAGAGAGGCAATACAGTAAAAAGTTTCAATGTGTTTATATAACCCCCCTCTCTACAAATAGGCCCCCTCCCTAATAAGCCCCCCTCTCTAATAAGCCCCCCTCCCTAATAAGTCCCCTCCCTAATAAGCCCCC